CTCGCTGGCTGGCTGGCCGAGGGCCCGGCTCGTGCCGCAGGCGGGCCAGGAAGCACCCGGGAGGCCTGAGGGTGTGAACGGGGCGGAGGCACGCCCCGCCGCTCGGAGCGAGGGTTTCCTTTCTCTGGGAGGAAGTGAGGGGTTGGCTTGGCCAGGAGAGGGGGAGATCTATGGCCCGTTAACGGCGCTGCCGAGGGCTTGCACGCAACTCTCTTATTTTTTAAAAAACAATCATTTAAAAATTAAGGCTCGCGCTACTAAACAACCCATAGCATACGAGGCAACAATTATTTAAAAATTAAGCAAAACACACCGCGAAAACAGGCTCACGCTACTAAACAACCCATAGCATACGAGGCAAAATAGAACAATCAAGAATTAATAAACAGTATTTTTTTAAAAAAACATAATATTCATAATAAATCTGATTACCTAAAATAAAACTTCGTGCACGCCTCCACTGGGAGCAATAGGGACATTTCCAATATGATTTTTTATTCCTCAGCCTCTTATTCTCTCCAAAATTGCAATGCTTCTTGTGTAGGTAGTTGACCTCTCCCTTTTATTAATACACATTCTATAAAATCTGCCCCTATGTTCTTGGAATGTTCTTATTCAGCAACTCTTTCTTTATCTTAATCTGGGGGAGTGTTAGCCCGCAGCTCTCATGTCATGGAAATGCCCCAAAAAGTCTTGTAGCCCCTGGAAGGTTAACAAGATAGGCTTGATGCAAGTTTTCATGGCCTGCTGCATCCTTCATTAGATGGTAACCATCTACCAATACCTATAAAAAGTTAGAGACTTTTACAGTGTCCCGGGGACTGGTCTGGCAGCTTATTTTTGATCTATTTTGTTCTGGGTGTTTTCATCCAAAAAAAAAATGTTTTCTAGCTCTGTATGAAACTGAATTAAAGGTTATAGTTAGGTAACAAACGTTGTGATGTTCTCCCTCATTGAGTAACCAGCAGGGTGTAATTGACAAAATACTTCATCTAAAAATAATCATGCTTGAACTGACAGTGGATGGCAACCAATGCACATAAAAACAGAATGTTCTTAGGCCATGAACTGACTGTCCACGTGCAAGTAATTTTGGTTAAGTGTGATATCCGTCTCAAATAGTCACATAGTGGAAAAGCCATAAATGGCTCCAGTGGCACCTTTAAGACTAAGAAACAATGTGTGCTCATTAACTGTAGCCCACTTCATAACATCTGATGAAATGATTTATGGTTCACAAAAGCAGGTGCTGAAGAAACATATCAGCTTTTAAGGTGCGTCAGTTTTCTTTGTTGTGTTTGTTACAAAAGGCTGATGGACAGGCAGCAGTTAATTTCTGAAAAGAGAAGTAGCGCACAACTTCAAGCTTGTCTGAAAACTCACATGCAAGTGAGAACCGGCTGTGGTTACACCAGGGTGAGAGGAAATATACTGTGACATACTCAAAGGAACACCCTCCTATATCACATATTCTTGATCTGAGCCATAGCGGATTTCAGACTTTATAAGGCCTTGCTTAGACCATGTTAAATCCAGGTCTGAGGCATAGCGGATTTCAGACTTTGTAACTGTCAAAAGGCCTTGCTTAGACCATGTTAAATCCAGTTTTTAACACGAGAGTAGATTACTCCAGACCCTACTCATTAAACAGCTTGACAATAAGATGCATGCAGGTAGATGTGTGCAGAAAGCGATAAGCGAAATACGTTCTAAGTTTGTGAAGAGAAAATCTTTTCAAAAAGAGATCGGAGCAGTAAGAAAATGTTGTTTTCCCTGTTACTATCAGCAGTAAATAACTTGTCCTTGTTCTGAATACCCTCATTTTCATTTCTTCCCCAGAAAGCTAAAAGTCTTCAAAGGAAGAATAATTAAAGGGAAGGGAAAAACCCACCCACACATTGAAGTAACAATTTTATATTCATGGTACATTTGTGGTTAAAGTCGTGTTTCTTTTCAAGTCTAATAACTTTTCTTATCAACAAAAATATACAAAAGGGAAAAAAGTGAGGGAATTTGTCAAATTATCTTATAAATTGATTTAGATTTATAGAATTATTTTCCCCATGTGTATCTAAAACTTCCTTTGGCATTTTCAGAATGAAATGTATTTTAGTTCTTACCTTAACAGTAATGGGCTCTCCAACTTTTAAGAGAGTACTGAAGACCGTACTTGTCCAAGAAGCATTTAAGGACACCCTCTCTTAAGTTAATTTCTACTTCTGTTCCCTGATTCTGACATCATTTCAGTTTTCATTTACTCTTGTTTGTTCTGTTTTCGGGGGTCAGTGTTGATTTTATGCTGGATGGATGTGTTATCTCTTTACTGTAAACCACCTAGATTAGTGTCTCGCACTAGTTTGGTGATATATAAATAAATAACTAGCTTACCAGAAACTCACCATGAAATAGCTTGGTATGTAATTCTATGTGCAGAAACCATGAGCTGTGATGTTGTCAGCAAGTACTGAGTTGCACAAGGCCACCTAAGTGAATATTATGGTTGCCCATGTATTTGGTACTGGGTGTAATCCAAAATCATTACTATCTTCTGCTCCACATTAGCCTCCCCCACAAGGCTTGGTTTCACTTAGCAGTTTGGAATCTCACAAGTCCTAAAAAGTAATTATTATACCACTTTCCAATGCACTAAAAGAACAAAAACTTGTATTCGATTCAATTTGTTCTTCCCCCACACAACAAATTTCTGAGTAATATAGCAAAGTGACATGTACAAGAATAGTTATAGTCTACTACTATACAGTGGTTCCCAACCATTTTTTATTGCACCCCATAACCTCTGACGAACACCCCACAATATTTCCATAAAAAGGCATTTTTAATGGGATAAAACCATCCTTTCTCAGAAAGTAGTCTTTTTTTCTCCCCTAAAGAGCCTGTGTCTCCTACATACACAGACACACTTAATCATAGGCATCCTTCAGTCTCGAGAGACTATGGTATCGTGCTCTGCATGGAGGACTTGGAACAGCGTCAGAAAGTAGTCTTTTTTCTCCCCCAAAGAGCCTGCGTCTCCTACATACACAGACACACTTAATATCCTGCTCTAAAAGGTCAAGGAAGAAATTATTTAACAAGGCTTGCAGTACATAAAACACTTTGCGACCCCCAGGTTGGGAAACACTGGTCTTGTGAAGGAGTTTTACCTCTGCTTCCCATCAGTCTT